GGCAGCTCTTGGCAGCTCACGCTGGCTGCTGGCCACTCATGCTGGCTGCCCGCCACTCACGGTAGCTTATGGCAGGCCCACTGCAGCAAGGGCTGCAGCCTACGCCCTCGCTGGTGACTCACGGCAGCCCAGCTCCAGGTTTAGCTGTTGTTCACCATCTTAGCTGTAGAGAGCAGTGTCACTGGCCCACCTCGTGTGGGATCTGAACCGGGGCCCTGCTGCTCAGAGCTGGCGTCCCAAGCCAGCTCTTAACCAATGCGCCACTTGGCTTGCCCCCGTGGGTACTCTTAACATATACTTCCAGCCATAGGAGAAAAAAATAATCATCTTTTTTTTTAATGAACTTGATACATTTCTGCTAGATAAAAATTTCTGTTAAAATTTAATTTAATTCATACTGACATACTAATTTAACAATTTTTCATTTAATTGTTTTCAGTATAGTTAAAAACAAAACAATCCAAGTATTTATAATGTGCATTTTCTTGACACTTTGTACATATTTAATCTGGTCAGGAACAAGTTAAATATAAAATTTTTAAATTTCAATAATCTCCCCTATATGAAAAAATAACATATACCACACTCAAAGGCTCATAAATAATTATGCTTGTGACAACTTTATTGATACTGGCAACCATTTGAAAAATATCCAGCAAGAATCTACTGATGGACTATAAAAAAAGGACACTTATATTTTGAAATATATTGTTCACATGAAAATATAGCATTGCAATATTAAATTAAGTTTAATATATGTGAAATATTTTGCATGTCAAATAATTATTTTTATGTAACATTAAATGAAAATGTAAGATAAAAATTATTGTATAATATATCAATGTGTGAAAATATGCTTAAAGAAGAAAATCTTTTCTAAATATTAATGATTATGTGTCATGGGTGTTGTTATTGTGATTATTATAATGTTTCTTCACTATGTGTTTTTAAACAAAGATATTGTTGAAATATTAAACATAAAATTTAAACTCCAGAACAAATGGAATTTTTTAAGAGTAAGTAATGGATTTATCTTATGAGAAAAACTGATGTGAAAAACAAAAGAATAATCAAAGGGAAAGACCAATGATTTCAGTACACGGAAATCATTAGGCATCAGAGTACCCAGCTTCTTAAGAGGTTCCACCAATAACTACTATCATATAATTCACTAATTCATCTTTTCATTTATCCTGTTATTATTCATTCATTCAACAAATATTTGATGAGGCCCTAAAATGTGCTAAGAACTGCTCTGAGCGCTACAGATAAAGCAGTGAAGATACCACATAAAAGTGCTTTCCTCATCAACCCTATATTTACTTGAAAGAATATGGAAATAAAATAAGCAAAGCTGGCATACAGTCAGCTCTATGTAATGGATTACCATTGTCAGCAGCAACAGCAGCAGCAGCATATTTTGTAGATAAAAATAATGTATGAAAAGGGCTTAAACTGTCAGTCATGAGATGTCATGAGGATTGTAAGCTTATATAGGATGGTACGATGTTTAATTTTATGTTAATTTGGCTACATTGTGGTGCCCAATTCTTTGGCCTACATGTTGATGTGAAG